CTGATGATCTCGTTCGCAGCCGCCCCCCAAGCCCTTTCCAAGGCGGCGAAATCGAACAGTGACGATGCGGGTTGATCGTCTGCTCCAGTGCCGTCCCGAAGCGAACAGGACTCCACAGCAGCACCTCCGCGACGAAGACCACGAGCATGAGCGCCAGGCCCATCAGCAAACGCGCCCGAGAACACGCGCCCGCGAGGCCCAGGAATGGGGCGGAGAGAAGGCCCATCACCACGTCCGAGACCACTGCGGCGAAGATCACCATCGCAAGGTAAAACTCCAGCTCGCACGGCAACCAATCCAGAGAACAGGCGACCACGAGGTCCAGGCACGGGACGTGGCCCAGTAATGTGATGAGGGGCCGCAAAAGTCGCAGCCGCATCGCCAGGACCGCCACGACGATGCAGAGCACCAACTTCGTCACTCGCAGCAGAGACAGCGCCGTCCCGCAGCGAACAAGGAACCATCACTCCACCGCCGCGGCGAAGGCCATGATCGCGAGCGTCAGGTCCAGCAGCAGTCACGCCCTGAAACACACGCCCGAGAGGCCCAGGGATGGGACGAGGAACACCAGGGCGACCACCAAATCCACGGGGCGGACGACCATCATCGCAACGTAGAGCCCCATCACGCACGGCAGAGACTCCAAGGAAAAGGCGACCTTGGGGTCCCAGGACAGGTCGGGGCCCAGAGGGCAGCAGAGGGGCCGCGCGAGGCGCAGCCGCGCCGCCAGAACCTCCATGTCGAAGGAGAACATCAGCTGCCACCGAGACTCCATGAAACCGGCGACCACGGGGTCCAGGAACGGGACGAAGCCCAGCAGGCTGATGATTGGGCATGCGATCCGCCGCCACGCCGCTTATGCAAGTCGAGATGAGCTGACCTGCCAGTCGCGCGCCAGCCGCCGCCGGCAGGAGAGCGGTGCGCGCAGTGGGTGGCTGCGTCGATCGCACCGACGGGCCCGCCATAATCGCTGCGGAGAGAACGCAGGACGCCCGCTGCGCGCGCCGAACTGCAGCGACTGCGGCGCGCCGTCGTCGTCGGGCAGAGGGTGAGGTCGCGCTCGCCGCAGGGGGCAAGGCGGCACAAGCACCCTTCGCCAGGGACGCGCCAGGCGAGGAACACCTGGGGCTGGGGGCTCCCATGGGCGGGCCGCCGCGCCCCCGCGGGCAAAATGGCTGCGGGGGGGGCGAAGGGGGCCGCGCAGGGAGCCGCCTAGGAGGAGGAGGAGGAGGAGGAGGAGGAGGAGGAGGAGGAGGAGGAGGAGGAGGAGGAGGAGGAGGAGGAGGAGGAGGAGGAGGAGGAGGAGGAGGAGGAGGAGGGAGGAGGGAGGAGGGAGGAGGGAGGAGGGAGGAGGGAGGAGGAGGAGGAGGAGGAGGAGGAGGAGGAGGAGGAGGAGGAGGAGGAGAGGAGGAGGAGGAGGAGGAGGAGGATCGATCTGCCAGCGCCCCGGGGCCCGAAAAACCGGGCGGGAGCGCCCACGGTGCGGCAGACCTGCAGCGCGCCCACGGCGCCGAGCGAGGGCCCCGCTTTTCCTCCGCGCGGAGCCTCTTGTCGTCCCCCTGTCCCCCTCGTCGCCCTCCCTTCCTCCTCCTCCTCCTCCTCCTCCTCCTCCTCCTCCTCCTCCTCCTCCTCCTCCTCCTCCTCCTCCTCCTCCGTCTCTCCTCCTCCTTTCCTCCTCTCCTCATCCCCCCCTCCTCCTCCTCCTCCTCCTCCTCCTCCTCCTCCTCCTCCTCCTTCTCCTCCTCCTCCTCCTCCTTTTCCTTCGCGCTGTTCCTTCGCGCGGAGCCTCCCGTCCCCCTGCCGCTGTCGCGTCCAGGGGCGCGCGAGGGAGGGCCCCCACCCCACTGCGCTTAAGTCGGGCTCGTCCCTCTACAGGAAGAATAACCAACAATTGTCCAAACATTAGTCTGGGGACTACTTTTTGAATATTTTTGAC